GAATTGAACATCTTCACAGTGATAGTGAAGAACTTTGAAAAGTTGGAGTCAGCACATAAATACATATATTTGGACACACTTCTTGTGGGAATGCCAGCTTCCACATGACACCTTTGTCTTCAGTCCACAACTAACCTGGTCATGATATGCACTCATATGGCTCATGAAAATTTCTGCACTTCTGTAGTTCAAGAAACTTCATAAAGGGAGGGTCCAATACTGGAGAATTTAAGAAATAATCATGCTAATAGGCCAGGCTGGACCCAACTGTCATAATTCAGGAGTCATAATGTGGCAAAACTTTACAATGCAGTGTTTTAGGAAGATAAAAGAGGCATCATGAAAATTCAAGTTTGGAGTTAGAACAACAATCCAATAGACGATAAGATGAGATGTGAATGGTATTCTTCTCTCCTTTGAAGAAACGTTTAGCTATACGTAACCAACTCGTAGGAACTCTATTGGTATTTCATGTTAGTATACGGAACTGTGCTGTCTAAAAGAAGTCATCCTCCACACATGTGGCAACTGAGCACTTGAAATGTAGCCACCCTGAACTGAACTGTGCAAATTTATGACTTCATATGAAAAACAGAATGTAAAATATTTTATTAAATTTCATCTTGACTATATGTTGAAATAAAGTCTTAGGCATATTGAGTTATTAAAATTAATTTCACCCATTTTTTTACTCTTAATACCAGAAAATTTAAACTACACATATGGCTTGCTTTTGTTGCTCATGAACTGTTTTGATTGACAATGCTGGGATATAGCATACACACTTTCATCCAATGCCTGACCTCATAATTAGCATTTCAGAGGAACAACTTCCATATTTATAGTTAGTCTTTTTATGTTTTATCATTGTATTTTGAATAGAGGTACATAGAAGATTTCAAAATTTTAAAAGCAGATGTCACTGTATTCTAATGTTTGCTCCCACATAGGAAACTACTACTGGGGAACAAGTATTCAGTGGCATTTTGATTATAAATCAGAAATAAGTCTCTAATCTAGCCTTACGAGAGAGGGGTTCATTTAAAGGTAGAGCCAAACATCTGTGTAGGAGAAGTTTTCTATTTTCATCTGTAGCAACTTGAAGAAAGGAAGTCTGGGCCCCAGGGCTAACATTTAAAAAAGCATCTAGAAAAAAGTTCATTGGAGAGTCAAAGGGGGTCCCTGAAAACTGATGGCAGACTGGGCTCAGGAGGAAGGGGGATTTCTACAATGACCCTTGGAAGAAACTGAACTTTAAACTTTAGTAAAAATCAGTGTCTGATAGTCAGTTTTATTTCCTTTTTCATGTGTGCTTAAACCACTTTTTTAATTCTATAAATCTTTGGTAATAATCTGACACACATACAACTTTCAGTTCATAGTGACTTGTGGTATGATGGAAAAGAACCATGTTTAACCCTGTGGTGAAGAGATATAGAGAAAGTGAAGAAGCATTCCAAAGCAGTGATAAAATAGCACAAAGTGCCTGAGAGTTGAGCCAGGAGAAGAGTACATTAAAAAATTACAGTCAATTATTAAAAATTATAAGCCTTTCTCCCCAGAAATCTATAGAAAAAATGGGGGAGTCCACTCCCTAAGAGAAGAGGTTTTAGCTTATTTGGTTTCCCTATTCATGATGGGGGAACAAAATTTTGTCACCCCAAAATATGCCTTTTGCAATATTTGATTTATATTGGCTAAGAAACAAAAGATGCGGAAAGAAACTTTGACCATCCCTCTTACCTGCCTAAAGGAATTCAAACAGAAAAACCTGCTTAAAGGAAGGGAGCGTCACCCCAGCATCATAATACAAACTAAACATGGCCTGGCAGGGAGAAATCTAGCAAAGCTTATTGCCGGATTTCCCTCTGCATCCTCTAGCTTCTGGATGAGCCAGGAAGAACTTGTTTGCTCTGTATTATCTATCTGTGAATTGCCTACTTTTCCTTAGAAATCCCAGACCCCTTTTACCTTCTGCTTTGTCCAAAATGCTGTATAAACTTGAACTGCCCAATACAACATGAGTCTTGATCTGTGGACTTCTCTGAATGTACATCTGTAGTATGTTTTGGACATTTAATCCTGTTCATCTGTCTCATGTTAATGTGATCATTGGTCTAGCTAGAAGAACTTACAAGGTGGAAGGAAAATTACTTTTTGCATCCCTAGAATGGAGATGTTACCATCGGTGTTTAGCTAAATTTTGAGAAAAGGACCAAAACCCTAGACACTGAGCTTAATAAACTTAGAAGCAGGAGCCTGCATGCCTCACCAGGAAGCTACAGCTTTTCACAGTCCAGAGCATCATAGCACTGCTCCGCCATGGTGATTAAAAGTTCTCCCTTTCCTTCTCTGGTACCAGACTGTTGGGGGGCCAGGGAGTGAGGCTAGGCCACGGAGGCCTGTCAGTCTAACTGGGAGAGGGACCCTATCCAAAGCCCACAAAAACATGAGAAGTTAATTGCTCATTTTGAGAAAGCACCTGGTCCATCCCAAACCCAAGGTTCTGGTTATAACCCCCAGGGAACAAAGAATTTCTCTCATTCTCTCTTGCTTGTGCCCCACATTCACATAGTACATGCACCTGTTCTCTCCATAGCATCCAGGAAGGAGTCTGAATACTGAAGCACAACAATGGACTACAGCTGGAAACACATGCTAAGCTAGATGGATGCTGGACTGTACTGGACTTTAATATAGAGCATAAACTCTGGGCAGTGACCCTCACCCTGGCCCTACTAAAGACAAGACTGGACTTTTTTCCATGGCGAGATGAATGGAGATGGGATATGAGGAAGTCAGGAGGGGAACCGCCCTTAATTGTACATCATCAATAAACCATACCCCAAAGCCCCAGTCTCCCATGTGAGTCTCAAGAAATTCTTTTCCTTATGATACAGCAAGAACCCATCTTCCACCAGTAACAGAAAGGGTGACTCTGAAAGACTAGAGAACTAGGGAGACACACTGGGTAATAATGCACATGGGATCTCTACTCAGACATATTCAGTTTCTCATGTATTTAAAACTCCTATTTTGGATTTAATATGTAATGAGAAAGAATGAATTAATTTAATTACAGGCTCTAACCACACTTTTTAAAACACTATTTTAAGATTAGGGGACATTATGTGTATATAGGTGCTCCTTTAAGACTTGAACCTTAACATTTTAATTAACTTGATTTTTAATAATTGATGCTATATTCCTTACCTTATATTTATAAGATTACTTATGTGATTAGGGTAGTAGCATTTTTAAAAAGACAATCCATAAAACACTGAGTAGATCTCTTCCCACCTCTCCTCACTTTGGCGGACAATGAAGCAATTTTAAAGAACCTCTGTAGCTAGAATTAAGGGCCTCCGAAGTATGTCCCAGCTCATAAATAACAATTAAAATTCACTCCTTCAAATGTTAAACTGTAATTCAAATATTGTAATAATACTTTTTAAAGAGAAAATAGAAAAGCTGTAAATAAAAAAAAGAATGAGCTTGTTCAGTTTTCTGGTCTTCTAGTACTGATAAACCAACTAAATCATGCCTCTGTTTCTCTGATTTATAGTTATTGTTTCCCAAAGGCAATTTTCAAAGCAAGGAGAAACAATGACTAACAAATCTAACAGCGTTGTTGTAATGATTGAGGTCTACAGATAGCCATGTTTATCTAACTGGGTTTTAAAATCCATCTTCCTGCCATATTTCCTAGCTCTTACAGCCAAGGCTTTTAATATGGTCTTCACGGACAGGCTTCAAGCAAATCTGTGAACCCTTTGAAGATGTACATGAACTCTGTTGTATGTCTCTCCCCTCACCCCTTGCAAACTCTTGGGAAACTGAGGTTCTGATGATTCTGACTTGTTGAAGATAAGCTATGTATTTTGAAATTTTAAACAATGTTAACGGAGGATGCCCACCTGGTCTTCACCTTTGGAAGACATGGACTAAATGTCCCATTGTTAGACATTTAGGTTAAATGAACACAAAAATATTTTCAGAGTTCTCCTTAGGTTTAAGATAAATTACATAGGATGGGACTGCAGGGTAAATTAAGTGAAAATTAAAAATTTTAATACTCTTGATACATACTGCCTAACTGCCAGCCAGAAAATTTGAGTTTACATCTTTTCCAAAACTGTGTGAGAAGGCTCATTATCTCACACTTACACATGACTATATAATTTTAAACATTACATGTATATTGTTTTGACTTGCATTCCTTACTGTCACGTATCTTCACATTCCATTGGTCAAATACATTGATCCTGTCAGAATAGAGAGAAAACAGTCAATATCTTCTTAGACTACTATTATTACATATGTTATGCCATATATACAACTCATGAAATGTTAAGCTTTCTGTAAGCCATGAGTCTACTCTGCGCTGGACAGTTGTTCCCGTATTTCATTTAATCCTCAAAATAAGTCAGTGTTATTATTCTCAGTCCAGGTTACTTTGAGATGGACTTTGAGATGTTGGGGAGAGTAGCCCAAGTGACAGCGACGAGTTGAAGAGTTGCGATTTGAGCCAGGATCTCATACTCCTGTTAACTAACCAGAGTTAAGCGGAAGCAGGAGGGGAAACACCATGTGCAAAAACAGGAATGAAAACCTAACCCCACACAAACCAAAAAACAAAACCACCAAAACCAGAATTCCTTCCAGCATACAGTTTTCTTCTTTAGAACTTCTGAACAAGTTCTAAATTAAAATAAATACAACTTAATATAATTAAAAGCCGTAAGTCTCTATTATCCAGTTCCTCCCCCTCTCACCGTTGCAAATGTTCAGGACAACCTCTTTGCAAAAGGAAATTGTCTAACTGAGAGGGATATATAGTTATTTCTAAATTTTCCAGAGCGAGGGCGGCTAATTTTCACTTTAAGTCCTGAGAAACCAAGATAACCACACTCATAGCACCTGCGCTTCCGGGTCTAGGCGGTGGAGGAAAGACGCATGCGTCGAGCACGTTCTGGGCCACACCTCCTACAAAAACGCTTTGCGCAGGCGCGGGGGCAGGTTAAAGGAGGGTCGGGCATCAGCTGACTTTATCCCTGCGTCTAGCCTACCCCCCGACTCCCGGGCGACCCTGCAGCGGGGTCGTCCCTTCAGTGCCAGCGCCTGGACTGCGTACTTCGTGACGCTGTCCTCGGGCCTGTTCGCGCCGTAGCAGCTCGGGATTGCACAGCAATAAGCGAGCAGGTGAGCGACCCTGGACGTGCAGCCCCAGGCCCCTTTCCGGAGCCAGGCCAGTTGAGGCACGGTGGGAAGAGCCGAGGGGCAGGAGGGGAGGCCGCGGGGGAGCTGACCCTGCCAAGCGACTGGTTAGGAGCTCGGGGCTGTGTTGATGGAGGTGTTGTGCCACCTCCTCCTAGTCAGAGCCAGCCTTCTGTCAAGGGGCTCTGGCTTCGGCTTCGGCTCCGGCTCAAGCCTGACGCCCCGGGTTGATTCCAGGCCGCCATACCTAGTGCAGCCCGGTGGCCCCTCTTTCTGCCCTTCTCGTGTTTTCCTGCACCATTGTCTGGATCTTATTTTTAACCTTTCCAGAGTAGTCTGTATGCTGGGTTTTGTTTTGTTTGTGTAGCCGACGAGAGTGACTGGCTTCCTTCTTTGTCACAGAAAATCATGACCCTTTTAAATTGGATGGAGTGCTGTACTTATTTTTTCCCACTTCATGCTGAGTCTGAGATCCATGTTGGGTTTTAGTAAATTAAAGACTTCCATAAAAGATTAAAAAACAATCAAACAAAAACACTGAGCACGGGAAAGAGAAGGGGGGCCTAGAACCTCTCTGTACGCCAACCAGCCTCCAGGAATAAAAGTGGTTAAATTCATCAGTGCTCTGAGGAAAATCTGGTAGGAAGGGCAGGAATATCCAGTACCTAATAAAGTTGCGCTTGTCCTTAGCGTTTAAACAAACACCTGTCATAGGCAGAATCAAGGCAACTGTTTGACAGCCACTGGTTCTGCCTTCCGTGTTTTTCCTCCCTAAGGCATTCCCGTGTGGGTACTGTGATGTTTTCATTGCGGAACCACTTGTGCCTGGCAAGTACTGGTTTGGCTGAGCTTCAGTGTCATTGAAACAAATCAAGACAAAATAATGCATTTGTAGAAGTCATAAATTATTCATATTTTTGAACTTAACACGGATAATGTGTACATAGTTTTTAAATAGTGAAAATAAGCATCTTTACTCATCATTCTCTAATTTTAAGTTTGTCTACTAGTTGAATAGTATTTTTTTTTACCCTGCTGCTTACACATGGATGCCAGTCCATTTTTAAAAAGCAAATTTGTACATTGAAATTATTTTGAGGGTCAGATTTCTTTTTTCAAATCAATGAAAAATTTTAAAAGAAATATAATTTCTCTCTATAAATGTCTATAATCTAGTTTTAGGAACTAATAAAAGGCATATAGTCAAATTTAGAAAAGAAATTTTTAAATTTTGCTTTATCTTTATTAATTTTTTTCCTCAATATCAGCAGATGAGATCATATTGATAGGGGAGTCAAAGGGTTGGAAAATTTTAGTTTAAGGGAAATAGTTAATAAGCCTAATAGGTAATGCATGTGTTAAAGCTGTTGTTTCAAGGAACTGCAGGTAAGGCCCACCACTCCCAGGAGAGAGAGCCCACCTCCTAGGGCACAGCTAAAGATTACTGCCTGGGGAACTAGTGGAAGCATCTGGACCATTGTGTTCCAGGGAGAGACAGACCACCACCCACCCCCACGCCCCCAACAGCTAGCTAACTGCCCAGGGCAAGAATGCTGCAGTTTTTTTGATTTTTTTAAAATCGAATTTTCCCTGAATTTCAAAACCCCTCACTGCACTTTGTTTTCTGTTATAAAAAGGCTAGCTTGGAAGGGAAATGTAAGGGGCCCCCTCTTCTCAGATCACCAGCCATCTGAACTAAGTGCCCATAAAAATTCAATCCCTGTCTCTGCTTATTGGGTTTGGTGTGTGACAGGAAGCATGAATGCCAGTTTTTTTCTGGTTTCAGTATCACTTCAGTTCTTTTCATTCTCAAAATTGCATGACCTTCCTGCAATGTTATTGCATTATCTACCTGCAGAGGCTATTTTTATGTAGGTAGTAATACTAATTACATATAGATTTAGAAATAGGCTTTAAATTTGTATTTAATATTTTCTGTTGTTTTTGATACTATCTTCCTAAATGTTTGAAGTTACTGTTCTATATATTTCTGTTTTGTATGTGTAGGTTATATTCAATATTTTGAATGTTAATTTCATTTTTTAACTCTGCCAACTGCTGAATAAGAGAAAAAAAATGTAGGATGTGGTTTTTGAGTATTTTTTGTTGCAAGTGTGTAAATGTTTAAAGCAAGAAATTCAAGGTCAAGGGGGATTGTAAATTTTACTTATCACAAAAAAGCATGAATTTTAAATGATGAAGAAAATACTACTTTGAATTTACTTGGCAGTACATATAATATCCAGCTGTTATCTGCCCAAACCAACTTTCGCCTTCAGTGCCAAGTGTTTTAAAGGTAGAACGTGGTTTTGTTTTACTCTAAGAAATGTGAAGCCTGCATGTTACTTTTTAGAGAAACTAAAGGAAGTATAGGCTTGTCAAATCGTAAGCCTGTACAAGTTGTTGGAAAGCCCATTCTCACCACAAGTCTGGTGTGATAGCTTTTGCAATATTTTTTTAGAAAAAACAGTTTTGGACTCCAGTAAATGGCTCCCTTGTTTCACACATTACTTTAATCGAATATAATTCTGATCCCCAAAGTAATTTTTTGAAAGTTTATTTACTAGAGAGAGGGGTAAGGAGGGAGAAAGAGAGAAAAACATCAACATGTGATTGCTTCTTATGCATCCCTGACTGGGAGCTGGCCCACAACCCACACATGTGCCCTGACTGGCAATGAAACTGACGCCCCTTTGGTTCACAGGCTGACACTCAATCCACAGAGCCACACCAGCTAGGATCTAGTCCCCAAAGTAATTTGAATGTTTGAATGAACATTCCTTGTAGCTTTTTTTTAAAATGAATTACCCATATTTTGCCATGTATAATGTGCTCCTATGTATAATGCACACCCATGGTTTTGGCCCAGACTTTCAGGGGGAAAAAAATCTTTCATTTTAATTTTTTAATTTATTTTTTATTCATTTATATTTAGGTACTTGTTTTCTGTATTATAAAGGGCATTATTTTGCATACAGATATCATTATGGCTTGCTAGAGTTACACTTTTAATGCATAAGCATAAATAAAAATTACAAACATTTACATAGATAATAGAATTAGTACACATATAATACACATTCTTGTTTTTCCGTCGAGAATTTGGGCAAAATGTATACATTATACATGGCAGAATACAGTAGATTGGTATAAATATCCCATAATGTTCTTGAGTATACATTTTTTTTCCTGAATTTTACTCTTAAGATTATTCTCTTTCTTTAGACATGGGGAAGTCTTTTTCTCATTTGCCTTTGCATTCAACTAAAGAAGATGCTTATGGTGGAGTTGCATCGACAGAAAACATGAGGAATGGACTCGTTAGTAGCGAAGTCCATAATGAAGATGGAAGAAGTGGAGATGTCTCTCAGTTTCCGTATGTGGAGTTTACAGGAAGAGACAGTGTCACTTGCCCCACTTGTCAAGGAACAGGAAGAATTCCTAGGGGTATGCGCATTGTTTTCCCTTTAAAGAATGATTCCAGGCATAGAGGAGCTACACGAAGAGGGATGTTATATAATAATGAGTCAAATAGGGGGAAAAACAGTTGATTGCATATCATTAAGGAAGTCAGAGGGAATAATTCCCACGTTTGTAGGCTACTTTAGGAGCAGTGGCAGCAATAGAAATGGTAGGAGTACCTTTGTGCTCTTCTCATTTCCTGCTTGGTCAGAGTTGATATGTGACCTGGAGAGGCCCTGGTGGAAGGGCAAAGTGGCAGTGTAAAGTCTAGCAGAGTCTCTGATAGATGCCTTGGGCTGGGGAACCCTGGGGCATTACATTTGAGGTCAGTTACCTGAGAATGAAATAGCAAAGACCCTGAAAAGAGCAGCTAGACTAGGAGGAGGAAATCTGTGCCTGTGGTATCCTGGAAGACAACTGTAGAACATATACTGAGAAGGAGGAAGGAGTGATCAGCTATCTTAGATGCTACTGACAGATGAATTAACATGAGGACTGAAAACAGACCTTTGGACTTGGTGATGTAGGACTACTGGGGACCTTTGAAAAGCAGGTTTGGTACCCTGCATAAGTATGGATATCATGTAAAGAATGGGATCAAGAGAGCATAGGAGAAACAAAGTTACATAGTGGGAAGATAGTTTTTCAGGGGTTTGGGGATACTGTGTAGAAAAGAGAAGTGGTATAACTAGAAAGGCCTTTGAAGTCAAGAGGGATTTTTTAAGATGAAGTGAATATATTTATATGCTAATGAGAATGATCACGGAGAAAACACTGGTAATCAGGAGACGGGAGAATTATTAGATCTAGTGTACAAGTGCATAGGGCTACTCTGTGTGACAGAAGAGAAGATAGAGTGTGTGGGCACAGAAGTAGAAAGGTGGGTGGATATGGTATTAGGTGTGTCCAGAAGTTCTTTCTGCCACATCATGAGCTCAGAGTCTGGGGAAGAAGGAATTGGAGGTTTCAAAAGAGAGTTGAAGTTAGGAAATCGTGGTCTTGGAATGTCAGGTTGTGAGTGTGAACTAAGGAAATGTAGTATGATTGTTGGCATATTAAGGGCCACTTGAAATTAGTGATCTAAAATGAAACTAGTGAGCATAGTTGTATGTTTTTGTCTGTCCACATGTAACTGTGTGGATATATGCATAGTAGTTAAAGGGTTGGTTTTAACCAGGATTGTAGTTTAGCCAAATGAATGCTACCAGGCAAGGTGCAATATTTATATACACAGAGAGAGACATATATACATAATGTATATATTTATATGTGGGTGTGTTGGGGGTAGTGTAAATGAGGGGAGCATTGCAGAAGGGTCTGGGAGGAATGATTGAAGTTTTATGGAAAGTTTTAAAAAAGAATTCGACCATGGTGCTTCAATAGTTAATACAGATAGATTGGAAAGTTGGTATTTAAAGATTTGTTTTATCTATTAAAGTATGTGGATTTAGATCAGCCCAAGAAATAAATGATGTATTTTGAAGTGACTGAATGTAGAGGGGGGTGTGGCCTAAGAGAGTCCTGTAAGCCTCATACAGGGGCTCTTGGAGCCTGAGACTGAGTGTGTGTCAGTTGTGGTTTTCAAGGGGGTGGCAGAGGAACCTCTGTAGTTACAGGGGTGTTAGGATACAGAGAAAGTTATGTTTCTTCTGCTCTCATCCAGATAACCAAGTCAGAGTCTTAAAGGAACACTGTTGACTTGAAGAAAAGTTTGGTGAAAAGTATTTTATTTTAGCAAAGAATTACTCTTTCTCATTCTGTATACTATTCCAATCAGCTAGATCTCTAGGTATGAAAGACACAGTTATTGGCCCTGGAATGTAACTTCTACTGGATAATATTTGAAGATTTTGAGAGCAGTTACATGGTATTTTGATCATTGCAAATCAGACTTCATTGCAGAGCTACTATATTTCTACTTAATCATGTTAATAAATTTTTAAACTTCTTTCACTTTTAGGGCAAGAAAACCAGTTGGTGGCATTAATTCCATATAGTGATCAGAGATTAAGGCCAAGAAGAACGTAAGTGATTCTCAGAAAGTAGCAAATTTTTATGTTCTCTTTTTGTATTTTTCAAAGTATGCATAATAATTACTCTAGTTAACACTATTAAAAGAAAAAATGCCATCAGATTATTAAGTTATGCTCTCATATGCTTTGTGTCATTAAAAAAAAAAAGAGAATCCCAGTTGGAGTAAGGTCATGAAAGCAGCATAGTATCTGAATCTTCTCAAATTCATTTAATGAAAACAGACTGACCTAGAATAGGAGTAGAAAACACACATGGAGAAAACATGTTTATTTTAAAAACAGGTGTTAAGGTGTTTCCCAAGCCTTAAACACAGCTCTTCAAACCATGATGATAGCAAGGACCTAACATGCAGAGCAGCTGTGTGGAAGTTGCGAAGAGAAGCAGATGGAGAGTTCCTCAGAGTCCTAAGGCCCCTGATACCAAAGCAGATACCGTGCCTCAGAAGAGGATCCCAGAAGACTTTCAGCAGATACTTCGAAGAATAACCTGTTAAAATGGGAGGACTCCTCATGCTCGAGCTTGGAGAGGGTGCAGAGGAGGCCACAGAGGTCAACTGAAGGGCCACAAGAAGATCAGCAGGAACTGGAGCATCCTAAGCCCTCAGAGACCTGAGGGAAACTCAGTAAAAAACTTAAGAAAAGGACAGGCACGTCCTAAGGAAGAACATTAGTGAGTAGAATCCAGTTTGCAAGAATATAGATAAAGGAAAGAAAAGGTTCAGAAACTGGAGAAATCTCAGGAGTATAGAAGCAGGTATACATAGTAGCCATCTTTTTAAATACCTTTCATAACAACAGGATGGCTATAAACTTGTGGTGAAATTGATGAGGCAAGTAGATATGTCATTTTCAAAAGCTTCAGAAGTGGTTCTGATGAGCAGTCACTTCACGGAATCATGATGGCAAAATTGACCGGTGAAAATTCCTCTGCAGTGAATTCAGGAGGGAGTCTCGAAATCAATATATTTTGAAAACTCCCTATCTTAATATTTAACATGCAGCCTGGTTTGGGAATCACTGCACTTATGTTTTATCTATAATAAGTCTGAAATCCCAGTCTTCACTAAGGTGAATACATCTTTTAAGGAGAACATTTTAACACTTAATAGACTCAAACCCAGCCCTACTCAATACTTATATAATGTAAAAAGTTGGTAAAATATAGTGCTAGCATAGTAGGGGGGAAATTCAAGTTGAAAATATTCTAAATATTTCATTATGTAATTTGTGATGCACATATGTATATTTAAATTCTCCATTCTTCCCCCAGAAAACTGTACGTGATGGCTTCTGTGTTTGTCTGTCTGCTGATTTCTGGGTTGGCTGTGTTTTTCCTTTTCCCTCGCTCTATCGACGTGAAATACATTGGTGTAAAATCAGCATACGTCAGTTATGATACTGAAAAGCGTACAATATATTTAAATATTACAGTAAGTAAAAGTTTACATTAAAAATACTTAACTCCATTCCTTTATGATGATAAGCAGCACCTTTGTCCCTGTTGAGAGAATATGGAATGTGACACTGGTTGGTTGGCTTACTGTATGTCTACTATTGGATATTGCCCTTCTCTGTTATTTCTGGTTCTGCTGAAAGCGGTGAATAATAAATATTGACAGTTGTGGATACAGAATCATTTAGCATGTGAAGATGCATTTAGGAGGGTAAATGAATTAAACAATACCTAGCAAAAAATATATTTACAGTCCGTTTACTTTTCAACATTTGATCCCAAATTTGAGACCATTGTGAATTGGAATCACAGAAGTTGGGTCCACCTGTTACCTGAGTGTAGAAGTGATGCACCTGCATTTCTTTCCAGTCAGACAGACTTGATTCCATTCCATTTCTTCTCCACAGTGACCTGGTGGAAATTTCTATTTGTGTATAAGTTAAAATACCAATTTCTTTTAAACAAACTTACTTAAGGTACTGTTTAACATTTTATATGGCCTTTGTATTTGTTAGAATAAGTAATCGCTTACTATACTAACATTGAGTAAAAGATAAAACTTAAAAATTTTATTTTATTTTTGCTAAGGTCACAAATACATTTTCTAACATTCATTTTTCTGTATTCCTGTATCATTTCTGGGCCTTATTTTTTTCATTGTGTGTTTATTGTAGCATATTCTGTACATAATATTCATGTGTAAAAGCAAATAATTGGTTAATTTAATGTTCACTAACTTTTTCGTTAAAACTTTTATTTCTTCTAATAATGAAGCATTGCCCTAACTGAAGTCATTTTTTTAATTAGTTGAATGCATATTTGTTTTGCTTATTTTCAGAAAACTTGTACATTTTTGGCCTGCTTTCTTTTGCAGAACACATTGAATATAACGAACAATAACTATTACTCTGTGGAAGTTGAAAACATCACTGCACAAGTTCAGTTTTCAAAAACAGTTATTGGAAAGGCACGCTTAAACAACATAACAAATATTGGTCCCCTGGATATGAAACAGGTAAGCTTCATTCATGAAATATTTTGGAGAAGTCAAATGAGCCTCAGCTTTGTTTATCATACTCACATAAAAGAGGTGAGGGTGTCCTCAAAAGCTTGCCTTTGAAATGGATCTCATGAGTGTGTACATGAGAAAGTCTTAGCATCAGACTTGTAAAGGGGGAGATTTCTGAACTCTGAAGTTGTGAAGTGTATCTGTAATAGTTGATTTTACTTGATTGATCCCTATTCTGTATTTGTTTATTTTCATTTTTTGCCTTTCAGATTGATTACACAGTACCTACTATCATAGCAGAGGAAATGAGTTATATGTAGTAAGTTCTGAGTTTTAATAATTTTCTGTCATTAAATTATAAACTCTGTCATTTATAACTATAATTATAAATTATAAAGTCTATAAAGAATTAAATATGTATATAGATTTAATATTCCATAATCTTAGTCACAAGACCACATTTTTAAATATTCCTTCTGGCTTTTGCTGATCTCTGTTCTCTCTTTTCAACATACCTAACATTTATATACAACATCTGTACACAAAAAATTATTTTTAGTTTTTAGAATTTAGATCATGTATACCTTGTCACTTTTTTTAATGCTTTTTTAAAAGATTTTATTTACTTATCTTTAGAGGGGAAGGGAAGGAGAGAAATATCAATGTATGGTTGCCTCTCATGAGTCCCCTGCTGGGAACTGGCCTGCAACTCAGGTGTGTGCCCTGTCTGGGAATCAAACCACAATCGTGTGGTTCACAGGCCCGCGCTCAATCCACTGAGCTACACCAGCCAGGGCACCTTGTCACTTTTTGTTTACTGTGTTAAGAGAACCATATTCTTTTATACCCTATTATTTATTGATGTTTTATTGTAGGAGGATTAATAGTGTATAATAATACTCTATTGAAGTTCTAAAGCTTTTAAATTGGTTCTAAATGATTAACTCCTATTAAGTAAAACAGTGATAAATGTTCATCATCTTTTGATATTGATCTGATATAGAATTTCAGAGTAACAAACTAGTTAGTAAATTTCAAAAGGTGAACAAAAAGTAGAAGTAAATTGTGGCATGTTAAAACAACTTTACGACCGCAATAGCAGAAAAGCATATTTGCCTTTAGAGTAAGAATTCATGAAAATATTAATCTTTATTTGAGATACTAAAAATGCTCAACTAAAATGCTTATATACATCTTAATAGTATCAACTTTAGCATAGGAAGAATTGTAATTAAACTTTTAAATTTATGATATTATAAATCTCATTTACTCACATTCTTTCCTCTTTAACAGTGATTTCTGTACACTGAATTACATCAAAGTGCATAACATAGTACTCATGATGCAGTGAGTATGAGTTTTTGTCTAAATCTAAGATTTATAATGTTGGCTTAGAGCAGTGATTTTCAACCAGTGTGCCACAAGAATTTTTAAATTTTTAAAACATGTACTACCTGACTTTTGTCAGGGGCACTGACCTCTTTTATTTGTCCATTTATTTATTTATTTATTTAGAAGGGGGGGAGGGAGAAAGAGAGGGAGAGAAACACTGATGTGTGAGAGAAACATCTGTTGCCTCTCGCTTGCCACCAACTGGGGATCTGGCCTGCAATCCAGGCATGTGCCCTGACTGGGAATCGAACTAGCAACTTTCAGTCCGCATACTGGCAATCAGTCCACTTAGCCACACCAACAAGAGCAGCACCTGATTTTATAAAGTCAATTTGGAGCATAAAGAGTAAGTAATTACTGCAATTATTTTTATAAATCAATCAAAATTATACCTATTTTTTGTCAGATTGGCCAAAACTATATTTTTTGGTGTGCTGCAGAATTTTAGTAATTACTTTCTGTGTGTCATGAGATGAAAAAGGTTGAAAATCGCTGGCTTCTAGCATATACAACATTTTTAAAATGCCATCTCAATTGGTTTTCAAGTATTATTACAAGTGTGCTGTGACATCCAATAAATATTACCCTACTTTACAAATGAGGACATGGGAGTTCAAGAAGTAGTTCAGGATCATATGGCTGCTGAATAGTGAACCCGGACCTGGTAAGAACTCAGGAAGATGGCAGTGTCTGGGGCAGTGAGGAGGAATGAACTCAGTGTGCAGTTCCTTGCTGCCTGTGATAAATGATCATTAGCATTAGTGAGGAGAAGTGCTGTTACTGGTTTGTAAGTTGGGTGTTATCCTAAGCTGTTAAAACACAGTAGGTTATAGGTTTAATATTTGGGCCATGAGCTGACATTTGATTAACCCTTTTCTTATGATGGGAGACCTATGTGGTTTTTAATCGAGTAATGAACTTACAGGGGGTGGGCAAAAGTAGGTTTACAGTTCACATGGAAAGTAATTAAATAGTAAATACTAATACAAGAATAAACTGTTTCACGTACTCACAACTGTAAACCTCCTCTCGACTTACTTTTTAAAACAAAATATTACATTTGTTGTATGTTACTTGGATGGGGCTGGCTCAGCCTGCATTTCTGTCACCAGTTGGGGAAATAACCTGAGAGACCCATGACCAGAATGTGAAACTGTCATTAATCAAATAGTCTCTGTCTGGAGAGAATTTTGATGGATAAGAATATTCTCATTTTAGAAAACTTTTTATATGTAACTATTCAGTACTTCTCTCCATTTTCTTTAACTTTTAGAGTCACTGTGACAACATCCTACTTTGGACACCCTGAACAGATATCCAAGGAGAGGTACCAGTATGTGGACTGCGGGAGGAACACAACCTACCAGCTGGGGCAGTCTGAGTATCTGAACGTGCTCCAGCCACAGCAGTAGAATCGAAAGAGATGCAGCTACAGGAGAAATCCCTATTGATATTTTTTAAACGCTGAGGTACTTACTCCCTGATTGATCTTAAATTGAACAAACCTAAAATAGAGCTAAAAGTCTGTGGACTTGCAGGTTCCTGCAGCTCTTCACTCTGTGTTCATGACATTTGTAACAGGATCCCAAATCTAACTTTACTGATTGGTTTTCTTCTCTCTGCCCCCACTCCTCCAAGGGGGAAACTGAGACTTTCGCTACAGGACACCTAAGTATTTAAAATTCACAGCTCCAGTCACTACTGAAAACATAAGTTTGGTGATGCACATAATTTGAGGAACTTTATTTCTGAAAGATTTTATAGACTATTACCTGGTAGCCTGTTCTTTATGAAAGACTTTTAAGGAATAACCTTTTTTTCCCTCTTATAAATTTCCATTGCTGCAAGGCAGTATTTCAACTATATGGTATTTTACCTTTTAGCTAAATGTTTTTAGTTTTTCATTTGTTGAAATTCTACTCAATTGCGTTTTTTTTGTCCTAAAGTCTCTAAATAATGTTTCACATGTCTTTCCATTTTATAGTTTTGTGAAAATTTTGTGTAGTCTTCAAACACAGTTAATGTACAATATTGTAGATAAACTGCATGGCTTTTATACAACTTTAATAAATATCAAATAAAGTGACACAGATTCAAAGTAAAGTAAGTAGCTCATAAATATAAAACAGGAAATGGAATTCAGAAACCTATGGAATGTGAATGTTTCCATTTACATACTAGATCAGGCATAAGGTAGACTTTTTGGAATAAATTATTTTGATGCTCCACTTCTTTTTAATGTTGCTTTTCATACTAGAAATTGTGAAGATACTTCACAACTATTCGGTACCCAAGTTACCAATTTTATGAATGCTTTAGGGGTGGAAATTATTTCTTTGGTTGAAATTATTCAAGAAATCATATTATTAAATGATGGTGGCTATATGAAAATAAAACCTGTATTATGATTTTAAAAATTCAGTTGCTTTGTACATCATATGGATATCATGTGCCTAGCAGTTACATTTTTAAAGTTTTTACTTTAGGTTTAAATTTTATTTAAAAAGTTTTTTCAAGTGTAAATTATTGACTTATTCACTGTGTTGTTTTATACTTTCAGTACCATTTACCAGTTGGGCTTTTTGCCTTTTCACTTACTAAGGTCTAAGTACCTTTTAAAGGCATACTGCTGAGTGTAGGGGCTGAGTGTGATACCAAAAAAGGGGGGTGATTTCAGATTAGTTTCTTTATGTTCCCCAGTAACAGAAATCAGGTTCCCCCTAACCTTCTCCTCATAAGTGCCTAACTTAGGTCCAAAACTTACTCTTCATCAGTCTGACGCTCAACTTTAAACATATACTGTATTTAATTATTTAATTATTAATAGTCAATTATTTAATAATTAGTAATTACCAGTAGTTGATAGTTATTTAGTAATTATTTATTATGAAGCCCTCCTTCTGCCTTTAGACACACTCTGGTCTCCCTTTTGTTTCCATATTATTTTCTCCCAAGTTTTCCCAGAAAAACATTTAAATACATAGGTAGAATGCTCTGCCTTTTTTTTAAACTACTCTGTCTTCCCTTAATTCATTCCTAATTCACTCATTCTTGTTGTTAACTAAATGTCACCCCTTTACATATATTATGGACTTCATAGTCAAACCCACTCTTTCTTTTAATTTTTCCTTTATTTGGACCACTGTCATTCTTGAAACTGCACACTTCTCTAGTGTATTGACTCTATTTGTGTTTTGTCATTCTCATTTCATTTTCCTTCACTATCTTTTGATGTCTTTTAACCAGTATTATGTAGACCCTCTTTTGCCTCAGAATTTCTACTGCCATGTCTTCAACAATCATCTATATTAGGGCTTCCAAATCTGTTTCTACATACTGGACTGATCCCTCATCTAGTTTTTCATTTAGCTAGTGACTTAGAGACAATAGTAATTCAGTGAGTAAGTGTAAAACCAAAAAATGTTTTTATCATTTTTTGGTTTTGTTCACAATTTCTTCTCATGCTTATTTACTTGAAAATAACATTTATTTCTTCAGAATGATCCTTCAGACAGGTCTTTTACAAAAATCAGTCCTGATTTATTTTCTTGCTTTATTATCTTTTAATCTTAGAAAATTATATAGGATAAATTAAATGGATTTTTCTGTTTGTGCTTCTAATATTCTTTTAGAATAAATTCATAGTATCTACTGAAGAGGCAGGAAAGTGAGGGAACCTTTTCTTTCCATGACTTGGTTTGAGTGGTTTTTTTCCTTCATCCTCTAAATTAAAAACTTACACCTATTTTCTGTGAGTTTTAAGTCAGAAAAAAACTAGAATTTAAAATAAGTAAAAAACCAGTGGTAGAGAAATAAAGATCATCTATGACTACTTTCAGAGAGCATTAACTAAGTACCACAATTAGCTTAAAACAGTAGGCTGTGAAGTAATGAAACTATAGAAACACATTCAGGTAAATTCGACTTACAACCACTTTTTAAAAAATCTGGAAAGAATGAGTGAAGTTCATCTTTTCTTAGGTCATTGTCCTATTTAGTTTCTTACATGGTAATAGGATAGCTATCAATGCATTTTTTAAAACTGCTCTCAGACTTTATCTGAAGGACATGGTACAGATGTTACAAATTTTTTCCGATACTTCCAAGAATAACTTCCTCTCAAATTACACTTTTAATAGACTGATCATTCTAACCAAGCATCATACTGCAACAAGCCTCGTGTGTTGATATTACATGTATATATAGCACTGTGTCCTTCTCAGAGCTCTTTTATGTGTTTTTCTCATGTGATTTCTTATAGCCCTATGAGTCAGGGGAGGTAGGGTGGTGGGATTCTCGTCTTTTAGAGAGGGAGGGAGAGGTGTGGAGAAGTTGAGGGACTTGCTGAAGTTATTAAGTAGTTTGACAGGCCAAACCTAGTCTTTTTCTCTCCCACATTTGTGCTCTATTCAAAATATCCATCGGAAAGTCTGTTGATTCAGCTTAGTATGATCACAAACTAGAAAAACTGTTCACATGCTTAATAGTAACAATCAAAATCATGTTGGTGGGTAACTTTAAGTTGGTACCTGAAATATTTCAAATGGGAAGTGAACACAAGTAAAATATTTTGGAACATAATCTATAGCTTAATATTTCTGTAAAATTTAGTACTTGGTCATTCCAATAAAAATATGACTGATACATCATCAGAAACTATTTACAAATAATACAGATTTTTGAGATTTGAAATACGAACAGTATGAAAATTAGATACCAGATAAATTGTGTGAAATTGCTAAAATGGTCACTTTATTGTACATAACATGTAAATGACTGGTTTTGTTTGTGTACGGTTTTTCTATGCCTTCTTTGTTTTTTTAGACCAATGAAGTGATTCTCTAAAAATTCATGACAAGAAAATAAAACTCACTTTAGATCCTCTGAATTGTAGTTTGGAAATGACGCAGTGCATTGCTGAAATGTATAGGAAGTGACTACCAAAACACAATAAAAGTAACCCAGAAGGCTTCAAATGTTAGTCTAATGAAGACTTTGTGGTTCTTAGCCTTATTGTTATGCAGTAAAATTCTGGATATTTCATTGGAGGGCATGTTTCCAACTCTCCCATGCTATTTGTCTTTTTTTTAAGTTCTTAAATAATCCTTTATATGATGATTACATCTTATTTAAGAAAATAATTTTTTAGGTACTTGATCCCCAAAATAAGTCACTGCTTAGTGTAGCTAATATTAATGGTTCCTTACTGTGTCACATACTATTTAAATCTTGTATGTGCTTTATGTAACTCCTTAGAAGAGCACTCTAAGGTAGATCCTGTGGTTGCTTCCCATTTCATACCTGAGAAAACTGAGTTTTGGGGAAATTAAGAAATATGGGTAAGTGGCAGATTCAGGTTCACAACAAACGCTGTTTGACTCAAGCATTACTGCTCTTACAGGTAGCATATTTTCTTTCTAATCTCTGAAAATGTCTTATTTATAAAAATACATTGGTTGTTGCACTTAGTACATATAAGACTTTGAGGGGTTTGAGAGAACCCTGATCCTTGAACAAGGAGGGGAAGTTAGGGAAACCAACGTCCCACCCAGTGGAGAGTTAGCGTGTGAATACAGTGGGTCATCTGCATGTGGGGCTTCCAGCCACAGAGTTGATGAGCGATGTTGGTTTGAATGGCACTGGGCCGTTCGTGTGCAAATTGGCCCCTGCAGTTCAAACCCATGTTGTTGAAGGATCAACTATTTTCAAAAATACTATTAGGATATTCTACTATTTTGTAGATCTTTGGTATATTAAAATGTTTACCATTGGTTTTTAAAATATTCATATGTTAGGGTTTTTTCTTTTAAAAGATGAAACATTTTAAATTTACAAATACATGCCAATCTTTGACAAGCAGTATAAATTGAATTTCAAATCATTAGGTTGTAAGCCAAAAGTTGCTTACCATAATGTCATGACATTTAACTCAATATGTGGAAGCAGCAAATACTGGGCTTAACTATCTCTAAGAGTAATTAATTTGACTTATTTTGTAAAACCATTTTAAATTAGATGTTTATCTTAAACTTTTAAGGAAAAATGTGTTTGTGAAGATAGAGTAAAAAGACTGCTAACCATTATTTCTTTAAAAAGTTTATTTTTACATGAAAACAAAATATATTTAAATGTGCTATAATCAAATATTTCACTTCTCTGTCCCAGATTGACTTATTTCAAAGTAAAAATTTTCACTTCTCAGCTGAAATTTCTGATTAGAAGTACTAATATTTATGTATTTTTGTGCTTAGAATGTAAATTCCACAATGGATTTTTGAAATTTATTCTTAATTTGGATGAAAGCAAGTGATATATATATATATATTTGTAAAGTTATTATTGGGGAAAATGGTTATTTCATTTTTTCAAAACTACTAATATGATTGGTTATGTTTGTAGTTCTTTTTACATGTGTTTAGCACAGGCTCTAAATTAAAAAATATATATTGTGGTCTGTATTGACCCTAAAGTATTTCACAAATTAATTTAACATACATCTGTCAAGTTTTTCATAGCTAAATGTAGCTCTTCCAAAAGGAAGTTGCTGCCTTCTGCTTAATTACATTAAATGAAATGGATTTAAGAGAAATGTTTTCAGCATATTTTGTATACTAAAAAACAAAAAGGATTAGTAGTATCAGGCCAATGGCCAAGAGTTAATATTACTACCATGTAGACTGTTCAAATTCAAAGTGTTTCACTTTCCGAAGTCTGGGAGACACTGTATCAGCTGTATTGGGTGATTCTAAGTACTGTTTAGGTACTCGTCATCTTTTAACTATCGTGTGACATGGAACATATGCCAACTTGCAAAACATGCATAATTTCATTATGTGATGGTTTGTTTTAGGCATATAATATCAGCAAGACATGCCTTGTGTATTTTGTCTTATATTTCCATGTAGAACTAAAATAAGATTTTAGAAAATGAAATCCTTGCTGACTTGCTTGGTCAGATATTTGATTATGGCATTATTGGGTAGATTCTAATCCATGATTCTAATTGTGGAATAAAGAATAATATAGAATGTGAGACTATGTTTGGGCACTTATCTTTGTTTATGTTATGTATTAACCTCATCATAACACTGAGTTTCTGTGTCCAGTTCTGTAATTATAACTATTGTTGCTAATCATGTAACAAAATATGCTTATGATAGTTAAATGAATAGAAGTGCCCCAAAATGCTATTTTTAATTCACTTGTAACTGTTATTCTTGTAATTCTGTATGACACAATAAAATTTGTAAAAATTTTAGCATGGAAAAATAAAATTTGTAACAGTAAAGTGTCTTGGTTATGCTTTTGAGATTCTCTTTATAGAAACAAATCAGTGTAGATATTGAAAATCCTTTCACTGAAGGCTCTTCGATCCTTACAGTCTTCGGCCAAACTCCATGTTAGCGTCATCTTCGATTTCTTTCTATTTCATTCACTTTGCTTCTGATCCACTGCTGAATTCTATCCGTTCAGCCTCTCTAATTTCTCTGGAATCTGTCTCACACTTGAAATTTTTTTCCCTAGAAAATTATTTGGCCATATTATTAATCCTCAGATTTTACCTCTTTGAATGCCCAGCTTGAGTTTCCCATCCCCTCTCCCTCCAAATTTAGCAAAACAATTGGTGACCTTTGCCCCAGAATGTATACTTTTAAAAGAATTGCCCAATCACAAAGATTTTCTTTTTTAAAAAAAACATTTTATTTATGTACCTCTAGAGAAAGGGGAAGGGAGGGAGACAGAGAGGGAGAGAAACATCGATGTGCGAGAGACATCCATCGGTTGCCTTTCCTGTGCCCCCAACTGGGGACTTGGCCAGCAACCCAGGCATGTACCCTGTCTGGGATTAGAATCCACAACCTTTCAGATTGCACACAGGCAGGTGCTCAATACACCGAGAAACACTGGCCAGGGCTTGCTTTGGTATTTAAAATCAAAAAAGTTTTTGTTTTAAATGGAAACACTTTTTTCCATCTTGAGTTAGTGTTTTAATTGCAGTTTTAAACATCTTACATCAAGTAGCATGATCTGAAGTTGTGACAAAAAAGAAACAAATCCTGGTAGGATAATGGGAAAAATAAGATTACCTGGGTGTACTCTCCCTAGTCAATTAATCAAGGGAGGAAGAAGGATCAAGAGCAAATTCACAAGGGTTTGTTTTTTTCTGGTAGATTTTGGTTCCTCTGATCAGTGGTTTTCAGATTATCTTTAAGTTATAAAAGCTACTTTTTAAAACTTCCATAGAACCCCGATATATGACAAAACATAGCTGGTTGGATTTAATTGGAAGCAGAAGACCTGTAGTTCTGACTTCGCATCTTCCCAAGGCCCTCGAAGCCATTGGCCTGGAGTGTGATGTGAGCCACCGCTTTAGTGACACCTTAGAGCGATTCAGCAAAACCCCTTTGGTTTATAAGTGAAACATAGATCCTATGCAGAAGGAAACAAGCTTCAATTTATATTTACCTGTATGTTATAAATAGCTTTGAAAATGACAAGGAAAAACGTGACTTGGAATTTTCTGATTACTCCTGGTTTTTACATGTTTCAAATGGTGAGTATTCAAAGTAATCATTTTAAGGTTTTGAGATTTTGATCAATGTGTGGCATCTTAAAATGAGTTTATGAAGAAGATTCCAACAGTTATCTTCATTAATTCTAGATTCATGAATGTACTGATTTTTTAAAAATTACTTAAACTACAAAGAATACTGATCCCTAATATGTGTCAGATATTTAATTCTTAAATTTGAAAGAATATACTTCCCAAGCAAAACTGAATTTTCTGCCTTCTTGGTAATTTTGAACAATTATTTCTACTGTGAATAAACACAAATGGATACATCAGTGGTATCATGTAAATTTAAGAATAAGGTTAAAGGCAGACTTTTTCCTGGTATTTTCTCAAATCTCAAGTTCGTACCTGAAATTGTGTAATTTGAGTAAAATGCCTTTTATCCCAAAAGTTATTTGTTCACATATAAATTATTTTTTAATTAAACCCTTACTTAATTATATACTATTTTCAATTGTATCCTTACCACATAACTTTTGTGTTTTTTAAGTTAAGCAATATATAATTTCCTAAAATATTATTAGTAAATTATACTTACTTTAAAAACATCATCTTCTCCAACCAGTATCTTTTCTTCCTGTAATACTAGCTGACTATTTTATAAGTCTGTGCCTGATTAAAAAACAAAAAACAAGGAAAAAAGCAAGAATGCTTTCAACACCCCTACAAACACCATGGAATTTTCATTTTTCTTTTCATGCCTTTTATTTTTTTCCATAGCACCTATTACCATGTAAAATATTATAGATACCCATTTATTTACTGTCTGTATGACTATACTAGAATATAATAAACATGAGAACAGAGATTCTTGTCTATTTACTGCTTCAGCACTCAATTACTTATGTACATGTCTCAATGAAAGAAAACATTCAATAACATTTAGATTTATATAGAATTTTTAAATGCTTTACTATATTCGAGATCTTTTATTTGTCATAGTCAATATAAAAACATTGTTCAGAAATTTTTAGTAATATTTAAAAATTGAGGTGTGTGATGTACATTGTACTTTAAGACATAATGCACACTTAATAGACTGCAGTATAGTGTAAACATGACTTTTATATACAGTGGGAAACCAAGTAATTTGTGCAACTTTATTGTGATATTTACTTTTTTGCGGTGATCTAAAACCCACAATATTACAAGTTATATCAGTAAATATAGGGCACTGTATTTGACCCTGTGGGGGATACAAAGAGGAAAATAATACAGTCCCAACCTCAGAAAAGACAGGTTAGTGGCTATGACTCAAATGGGCTCCCACCACTATCTCTTGGGCACTTTACCCTCCATCAGTGTTCATCTCAGCGCAATGGTGGGGAAAAGCTGGTGCACAATGTAGTTTTGGGGGGGCAAGGAGAAGGATACAGGGTCCTCTCAAGCAGTAAGCACCCTTGTTGGTTTGTCCTAATTGGCTGAACAAATATTTTCTATGAATGCTATAGAGGGGAAGGGTTCAGAAACCCTTTACTTTAAGGAGATGATGAACAAAATAATTTCTATTTGTTAATAACACTGTCACATAAGGAAATATGTTACATATTTCCCAACTTGCATTAG